GAAACTATTCTGTTGCTTGAGTATCCCCAATACAAATTTATATGTAGCTGTGAAAACTTCCCTGTAAGAACTTGATGTAACTTTTTTTAATCACTAATATATGTGTGTGTGTGTATATATATGTTAATATATGTATATATTAACCTTAATTTCTATCCTAAAAGATGGCATTGTATCAAAGACCAGCATTAAACAGTTACTGCAGGATCTCAGAGTAGGGGGGCTTCTGCATGGGCTGAGCAAGCTAGGGAAACCCTGTGGGGCAGGGAGACTTGGTTGGAAGGCATGGAGGTTAACAGAGAAGTGGGAAGGTGTCCAGCAGGGACACTGGTGTGAAGAAGGCACAGAAGCAGGAGACAAGCACTGCTTCACATCTCCATCTTCAGTATGTAGGCTGCCTCCCAGGAGGCTGTATGTTCTTAGGATCTTTGGAAAAACAGTCACTTGGTCTACTTCAGTAACATGTCATTCAAATATTTTATTCCTTCATACATAAAAAAGCAAACTTTCTTAATGTATGCCAGTTTTTGGTGTAATTGAAAATTTAAACCCCCAATTTTCAGTTTCCTAATTATTTTGATTTTTTTTTTCCTGTTAGCACCACCTGGTGGAAATGCTTCTTTTTTAAAAAGAGAAAATGCTTGTTTTTATTGCAATCCACCTCTGCCAGGGAACATTGCTTCTTTTTTTTGGTCTTTTTGAGACAGGGTCTCCCTGTAGCCCCAGCTGTCCTGGAACTCACTATGTAGACCAGGTTGGCCTTGAACTCAGAGATCTGCCTGCCTCTGCCTCCTGAGTGCTGGGATTAAAGGCGTGCACCACCACGCCCGGCTACATTGTTTTTAATGACAGTTTAACACCTGCCTGAAATGCTCTTTACACCATTAAATTAATAATTTATCTACTCTTATCTTTCCATGGGTTGTAGGTAGAATGATTTTTCTGTCAGGGATTTGCCTTCTACAGAGTGTAGCCTGGACCTTCGCTCTTCCCAGCTGTGGATCTGTTTCTTGTGATCCTTGTAGGGCATTTTGAACTGTAGCAGCAATCTATTGTTTGCAAATATGAAGGCACAGTGCTGCCAGTTTGTAGCTAGTGCCGGAGTGACAAGGACCTTTGGGTAGTTTCCAGACTCTGCCCCTATTTTTCCATCTGTGTACTGGCATAGACATAGTGGGGAAACTGTAGCTGGACAAGATCATAGGAATCATTTGGGCCCATGCCCACATTTTACAGGTATCTAAGATTAAAAACATGCAAAATAGAAAAAAAAGATGGATCTTGCTAACTGACAAGTCTCATGACTGCCATTTCTCACCAGTCGGTACTGTCCCCCATTCCAGCATAGGGAACAAGCATCCATGCTTCTTTTTCTAGAAGACAGAAAATGAAGTAGGTATATAGAGTTTGCTTTCTTCTCCAAAAGGCTTTTGGTAGCTCAAGGCAAATCCCAGGGCTGACTGATTTCTAAAATTGGTGGTCTGGCCAGGTATGAATTTTTTAAGTTTGGGTTGGGAGGATATGTCTTGGTCCTGAGATTTGGGGTGTGGCTTTTGTGAAGAGATGTGGCCATGTGACATTTTTTTAGAGTGGATCTTACTCCCTGTAAGGAATGTATTAGCTTAAATTTTCTTAAGAATTTAGTTGAAGTGGTTAATTCTCAGAACCTTACTGAAATGTGATTATTTGGTACAGAATAGGAAGAACACAGTCACTGAATTCACATATTTGTCCACTCTGCCAGTTGCATGATTGTGGGCAAGTAACTGAACCTCTCAGAGACGCTTTTTGCTTCTGCTCATAGTATGTGCAAGAGAGTTAAATGAGATTATGTGAAAATTCTGTTTAGTTACGGGTATATAGCGTGAACTTATTGGAAAACTACTGAGAAATAAGCCATAGTAATCTGCTTCAGCTGTTAATTCAGATTTTTTTTTGAGACAGGATTTAGCTGTAGCTCCTAGCTTGATTGAAACAGGTTATGTAGATCAGGCTGGCCTTGATCTCACAGAAGTCCACCTGCCTCAGTGCTGGGTTTAAAGGCATGTGGTACCAGGCCTGGCCGGTTAATTCAGATTTTTAAGCTGTAAATTAATTCAGCATTTTGTTATGTGTGTAGGGATCATCCATGTGTCATGTGGACGGGAGGCTGCAGGAGAATTCCAGTTCTGATTTTCCATGCTGAAGCTATTTTGACAAAGGACAACAATATTCGAGTAATTGGAGGTAGGTGTGACCTCTTCCATAGAGGAAGGATCTGGGCATGACCTGATGACTTTTTAAGAAGTTTGTATGACACACGGATAGGAAGAAGGCCTTCACCATGAGGAAGTGCAGTGTTACTTGAAAAATAATTTCCTAAATTGTTTTCTACATATGTTTGTCCCCTGGACTTTTTGAAAATTATGCATATATATGCTTGTTCTATTAATTTGTAGTGATTGCATATAGCAGACTACCATTTTGACCATTTTAGAATGTACAGTTCATTGGCATGTAGTCCATTTATACTCATGTGTCTAGTTTCAGGACATTCTCATTATCCTCAGAATAAACCCTACACCCGTTAAAGCAGTCATCCCTACTTCTCCATACGTCAGTCCCTTGTGACCACTAATCAAATCTGCTTTCCAGCTCTGTAGATTTTCCCATTCTGAATATTTCAAATAAATAAATAAAATCTCAGCGTGTGGCCTTCTGTGTCTGGCTTCTTTTACTTAGCATATTTTCATGGTCCATTCATTTTGGAATATGTAGTAGTCCATTATATCTTGGCCCTATAATATTCCGTTGAAT